CCCGCAGCCGCAGATGGCAGGGAAGGCTACGGCTTCTTTAGGATATTAATAAACGTAATAAAAGACCCTCTTTTCGTTCTTAATTTGCTTTGTGTCAATGCACCTTTCAGTTCTGCAGGACCTGGGTTACAAACACTGGCGGGGACATCTTCAAAAGCCAACTGTTTCCCACAGAATTTATGGAAAACAGTTTATATCTCGTGACTCACTTGTTTTCTGTTTTTTTGTGTGCTGCTTTTGAGCTGGTAGAGCTTTTCACCCCTCCATATTCCAGTTCCTCACATCTCAAGAAAGAATGATGATCCTTCCTTGCCACAGAGGTACCGTGAGGAGTCAGGACTGTGTCGAGCTTGGAAGAAGAACAGGGCTAAGCAGTAGCAGTAGGTGTATCTGGCTGTCTCTGGTTGTACGTGTGGCTGCTGGTTCTTAAGCACAGCACCGCAGTGTGGGTCCGGTGCTGGGGCTGTGCCTCTCGCTGGGCTCAGCGGGGAGCACGGAGCGCAGGGACGTGCCGGGGGAAGGCACAGTGAGCGCAGGGTAACACCGCAGCGACTGCAGCACCAGCACTGCTGCTCTGCGCCGTGGCAGGCTGTGGCAGGCAATGCCTCTATCACTGTAAATTGTCTGTCTTGTTCTGCAAAAAATACCTTTGCCTGTGCTTTGCCTTCCCCTTTCCTTCTCCCTCATTGAAGTGTGAAAATGCCCAAAGTCTGATCCTGCCTTGCTGTCACGGTCCGTATCAGTAAGGTGAATAGTTACAACTAGTGAGGGAGTAAGAGTAAACACATCTGCAGGGGTCTCCCGTTGCGCGCACTGGACGAGCAGATCACACCACAAGGCACACGGCGCCTTACACCACGAGCCAAATCCTGCCGCCTTGCAAGCAGTGTGAACACGGGCCAGGTCTCCTGAGGCAGCGGTGCAGCACGGGACTTACACACGCATAAATAAGAGCAGCATCTGGTGCCGTGGAAGTGCAAAATGAATTCGGATTTCTAAAATAGTTACAAGGAACGAAGTGTCTGACAGCATTTGCTGTTGAAAGCTATCATTTATTTCCCAAACAAGTTACATCACCAGACTGCCCTCATAATTATGGCCATGAAAACAGAGGCAAGGCAGTAAGCTTTTTCCTCTTGGATTCTAAAATAACATCAGATGCCTATAAAGGCCAGAATTTCCAAAGACCTGAGCTCACTAAAAGCCTGTCTGTCTGAAAGGTTAGTGGCATAGGTAAGTCGGACTTATTATGGAAAAATGCTCGCTGTGGATTGTATTAAAGCAGCTCATTTTTGACAAAGGCAAAACAGAAAAACACGCTCATTCCTACCAGAAAGCATGCGGGGAGTGCTCAGGGATAGATGTCACGGGAGCCTGGATCGGGCATTTTCCCTGGGAAGCAGCGCTCTGACTTACGCAGAACCTGCGTTCTGCTGCTCGGTGGCTCTCCAGGACTGATTACGTGTCTTTCTCAAGAAGCTTTCAGCAAAGGAAGCTGCACTGATGTTGAAGTGTAAGGTCAAGTTCTCCTCTCGTGTAGGATGTTGTAAATCAGGAGGTATTCCCCTGCCTGCAGCAGGGTAGCCCCTGATTTACGCCAGTCTGGCAGCAGGAGCGAGCACGGGCGAGCGGCTGGCACTTGCCCCCTGGCCCTGGCACTGCTGATGGGCAGGGTGGCCCCGAGCTCGGCCCCCTCTCCTGCCCCATGTCTGCACTGGAGGGCAGGCGGCAGGCGCTCCCGGGGAGATGCCGGGCCCTGGCACACCTGCCCAGCCAGCTATGCAGGGTGGGCTCAGGTTTTGGTGCTTAATGCCACATCAATGCCCATTTCACCTTCTATTCCCTGCTGCACATATAGCAAATTTAAAAAAAAAAAAAAGAGAATGGAAGAGAGTGAGGTGTTTTAAACACCAATAAGGCTCTCTCTTGGGCAAGCTAAAACATAAGTATTGGTTCGCAGCTGCAAGAGTTACTGAGAACGTAGGACTCCGGCTGGTCAAGAGGCCTCCTGTGTACAATCTCGCATAAAACTGGGGAAAGGCACCTTATTAAAGCCGCCAGGCTGAAACCAGTAGAGCTGTAGTTAATCACAGCCATTTGCTTTGCTCCCTCCCCACTCACCCGATGATGTAGCACTGCGCAGAACAAATATGCTATTTTATAAACGTCTTGATCCCTTTCCCGTTACGCAGCAGGTCTAGGACTTGGCATCCATCCTCACTCTGCCTGAGGCAGCCATTTGCCTAATAAGGACTCGCGCTGTCTGTGTTGGGCTCTGTGTCTCGGTGTTGGTCTGTCTGCAGCAGTGTTGGGCTGTGTGTGTTGGGTTGTGTGTGTTGGTGTTGGGCTGTGTGTGTCAGTGTACAGCTGTGTGCATTGAGATGTCTATGTTGGTGTTGGGCTGTGTGTGTTGGGCTGTGTATGTTGGTGTTGGGCTGTGTCTGTTGGGCTCTGTGTGTTGGTGTTGGGCTGTGTCAGGCTGTGTGTGTTGGTGTTGGTCTGTGTGCATTGGGCTGCGTGTTGGTGTGTTGGTGTTGGGCTGTCTTGGGCTGTCTTCCTGCTGTGTAGCCAAGCATGCATGACCATGCACGTGGTGGGGACACGAAGCCCCATTTCATCGCTGTCCTGAGATCAGGATGTGCAGACAGTTGGATTTTTTTTCTTTTTCTCAAGGCTGGCATGACAGCAGTCTGGGTTGCATCATGGCTACCTGTCCATTACACCAACCCACAGCTACAGCAGCGATTTGTCCCCACAGCCCACAGGGCCCTTTGCTGCTGG